AAGGGTCTTGTGCACGTTAGGCAAGCTCTCTGTCTAGTCCTAGAAGACCTCTCGGGACTGAGGATGTGGCTCCATCGGTAGGAGGCACGAAGTACTAGGTGCCTCCCTCCAGCACCACGGTGGCTCACCTCTGTAATCCGAGCACTCGGGGGCTGGAGGCAGGGGGTTCAGAAATCCAGTCATCTTCAGCTCCATAGTGATTTGGGGGCCAGCCTGGGCTACATGGGAACAAACTTAAATAAAACCAACAGTCACAACAAAACAAAGCAAGGACTCTTCTTGCTTCTTTTCTTCCCCCAGGAGGCACCGCCAGCCTCTTTCTTCCCTGCTGAGCCATCTTGCCAGTCTGCTTCTTCCTTTGTTGAGTAACTAGACCTTCGGTGCAGTTTAAGCCCAGGTGAAGAAGCACTGGAGGAGCCAAAAGGCCCGGGGCCAGCCAGATGACGATGTGGGAAGAGCTAGGGGCAGAGTAGAGTGGTGGATTGTTTAAAAATTCTGCAAGTTTGCAGGGTGATTCACACCTTTAATCCCAGCACTCGGGAGGCAAGAGGCAGGTGATCTCTGTGTTCTAGTCTACAGAAGACTCCTAGGACAGACAAGGCTACACAGAGAAATCCTGACTGGGGGAAGAGGGGGATCCTGGAAGTTCACTATTTTGAATTAGCTTTTGCACTAGGCTGTAATATGCTAGATTAAAAACTAAAACTGCTCAAGTTCCAAGCAACAAACTGAAACTCAGTTACTATTTAGTGGAAATCCAGGGAGGAAAGGCAGCCCAGGTTCCCAAACAGGTGACTGTAACTGGCCTGCCAATGGGGTTTAAATCCTCTAATCAAAAGGTAACCTGAAGTAACCTGAGTGTCCCTCCGCCTGGCAGGCGCCACACGCCAGTAATCCCAGCACTCTGGAGGGTAAAGAGGATTGCTAGTCCTGGGCTGCGGAGAGAGCTGGTGTCATGCCCCCCGCCCCCAGCCTCACCCCTTACTCCCCAACACATTAACTTGGAAATGAGCAGCTCCTTGGGTTTTAATAACCCATCTCAAGGTCTTGTCTTCAAGTTCACCCTTCTGCTTTTGTCGGCCATTTCCCAGAACTCCAAACAATGCCGCTGAGTTAAACACTTCCTCTACTTTATATAAGCAAGTGTGGCCCTTTTCTAGAAACATTGCGTCTTACACCTGCAATCACTGCACTGGGGGTAGGCAGGATTGCTATGGGTTTGAATCTGAGGCCAGCCTAGGCTACATAGTAAGTAAATTCCGGGTCAGCCTGGGCTACATACTGAGAACCTGTCTCAAAACAAAGTCTAAGTGGAGGGAGACATCTGCAGGTCTCTTTCCTACCAACACAGGTTTTAATGGCCAACCTAGGAGGCAGGGCTTAATGAGACCACCCAGAGGGGCTTCTACCCAGGTGAAGAGAAAAACCCAGCAGCTGAGCCTGAGGACAAGGACACTGCTCATCCCACGAACCCCTGAAACCGTACTTGCCTCTGCTAACCACTAGTCGAGGCAGACACCTCTACAGGCGGAACCCTGAATTAACACACCCCCAAAGTGCTCCTGCATTTATTTTCAGCTAACTCCTTACGGGGCAAGCCGAGCATGTGGAGGCATCCCTGCCTTCCATCTTTACCTTAAACATATGCTCCCTGACCCGAAGCTCAGCACGCCCCAAATGTGTCTGCTCTCCTCCTCCAACTGTGAAGTCCAACTGAGCATGCTCAGGAGTGGGCCAGCTCCTGTATGAATGTGTCTAGGCTCCCCGAATATGATCTCCATGGTTGCTTTGTTCAAGTGTCGGGTGCTAGTGGAGAAACAGTGTCTCCGAGTGGCAGCCTGTGCAGTTCCCTTACAGTTTTCGGGATCTCCATTCCAAGTAGAGCTGGATTCTAGACTTCCAAGTAGAAAAGAATTTCAGGAAGAGCCAGTCTGAAGCAGTTAGAGTTTATTTAAAAACACAAACACTTTAAGCACAAGGATTTAGAAAAAGAGGAGCCGAGAAGAAAGTCAACATCCCCGTGTCTGGGTGTCTCAGTCACAGCCAAGTGGCTTTATAGCAGCTATCCATACTGTTCTGGTGGCTTTGGACTTGAGCCCAGTGTGATCAAGGTTAGTTCCTATGGATAGGGCACGGCTAAGGTAAAGCCCCAGATCACAGGGTTGCCGGAGAAATTAAGACATTTTTAATTAAGTCTTGTTTTTGAGATTCCCAGAAAATACCTAGGAAAGGAGTAAGGCCACACTTGAAGGTCATATAGGTTCAGGCCTTAAGCACGCTTCACTGTTATTTTAACACAAAGTATCTCCAAATAAAGAGTACCTCCTAGCTGGCAACCTTTACAACAAATGTTAATTGTGCTAGAAATCTGCAGGAAGCATCAGCCAGTCGTCTCCTGTTCCTTTTCATGCCCCCATCATGGGAAGAATTTAAGAGATGGAGGAAGAGGAGAGACATGCTGGCTGCTGGACATCACTGTCGTGGCTGTTGTAACGTCACCATCAGTCAACGTATAGCACCCACTGTCACCTACACAGGCTCAAGCCCCACCCTCGGGACAGTTGATGGCTGCCGAGGGAGGGAGGGTCACTCTCCTTTAGCAACACTGGCCCCTGGTAAGTTGCTCACACCCTAGTGGATGATCCCACACCTGGGCGCATCTGGGCAGCATTGACTGGTTTCAGGGTTATCAGTAACAACAAAAAGGAGGATATGCTATTGGGAGGCAGCACAAGGGCACTAGGAGGAATTAGAGAAGGTACTGGTGGATGGAGATGGTCAAGATATATCCTATAAATGTGTATGCTCCAAAAATATATTATTTAAAAAATACAAAGCCGGGCAGTGGTGGTGCACGCCTTTAATCCCAGCACTCGGGAGGCAGAGGCAGGCGTACCTCTGTGAGTTCGAGGATAGCCTGGGCTACCAAGTGAGTTCCAGGAAAGGTGCAAAGCTACACAGAGAAACCCTGTCTCGAAAAACCAAATAAATAAATAAATAAATAAATAAATAAATAAATAAATAAATAAATAAATAAATAAGGACAAGAAGAGGGAGGGGAGCAAACGAGAATAATGTAATGACATGTATCAATATAACATACCAAAACTCCTTACTTGTAGCTGGGTGGTAGTGGTGCACACCTTTAATCCCAGCAGTTGGGAGGCAGAGGCAGGCAGGTCTCTGAGTTCAAGGACAGTCAGGGCTACACAGAGAAACCCTGTCTTGGAAAACAAAACAAAAAAAATTTTTTTTTTTTTTTTAAAAATATGGACACTTCCTTATATACATAGAAAAGTCATGAACACGGAGAGAAGCTTACTGGGAAGAAAACGGGGTTCAGAAAAACTGGAAAGGGATGAGAGAGGATAATGAGGGGGTAAATATGATTAGTTTTCATCCAATCCTAGTGAGAAGGCCATCATCATATAGTACATATCCTAGAGAAATGAAAACTTACATTCACACTTACAAAAACCTGTATGCAAATGTTTATGGTAATTTTATCTATAATCCCCTAAACCTGACAACTAAATATCCTTCAATGAGTCAAGAATGGCATGGCCATACAAAACCCCATAGACCAAAGCCCTGGCTGCATGAAAGGTGAGGCAAACCCATAGGGACACACACAACAGGCACGTGCTGACTTTTCAGAGGCTGGGGTAGGGTCGGGTTAAGGTCTGACCTCAAAGAGACCTGTGACAGGATCTTTTGGGCAGCAGTCCTGAGTTGTGGTGAATAGGTCCATCTATGTGCCTGTTAAAATCCAGCAGGGTGTGGTGGTGGTATGCGTACTCAGGAGGCAGAGGCAGAGAGGCAGCCTGATCTGAGTTTGAGGTTAGCCTGGACTACATATCTAGTTACAGGCCAGCCAGAGTCACATAGGGAGGCCCTGACTCAAAACAAACAAACCTCAAAGAACGGGACTGGGGATTAACTTGGTAGTAGGGCACTTGCCTAGCATGCATGGGGCCGTGGGTTTGAATCCCATTTGGGAGTGAGGTGACCCAGAAAATTGTGAATTCAAAAGTTGAATTTATATGCTAACTTAAACTTTTAAAAAGAGATTTATTTTTACTTTCTGTGTATGAGTGTTTTCCCTACATGTATGTATGTGTGCTGCATGCATGCCCGATGCCCTAGGAGGCCGGAAAAGGGCATCAGATTCCTTGGAACTGGAGTCACAGCCAGGTGAGGGCTGGGAATTCAACCCAGGTCACCTGTAAGAGCAGCAAGTGCTCATCATCACTGAGACATCTCTGCACCCCCGGATTTTGTTGTTGTTGTTGTTGTTGTTGTTTTAAAGTGACTGAAAGATTCAAATAAAACTCTTTTAAAAGAAAATGTCTGTTTCTGCCAGGAGAGTTGCATGGTATGGGCTTAGTCATACCCAGCTGCTGTTTGTGTGTGTGTGTGGGGGGGGGGGATTGCTCCTGTTGAAAGTCCCAGAGCAACAGTTGCCTCCTCCTCCCTCCTTGACTGCCTCACCTCAAACCCCTGGGCACTCCCTTTGTGAAAATGGGGCACAGGGAGGCTGGGTGTGGTGGTTGGTTTAAATGTCAATTTGCCATAAGTCGGAATCACCTGCAGGAAGCCACACCTGGAGAATTATCTTCGTGGCCTATAATGGATGTGGGAAGACCTACCCAAGTGTGCACCACATCTGGAAGCAGCTCAGGCAAGGAGGGCACGGCGCATGGCACAGGGCGCCTGGCGGCAGGAAGACCTTCACCTGTGCCCCAGCCTTCCCACTTGCCGCCGTGTGGACTACCCTGTTGTTGCTGCTTCCTCCACTGACATCAGAACCAGCGTTTCCAGGCTCTCTGCCGACTCTCCAGGCTTTGGGGGCCAGGTTGGGGCTGCTGAGGTCCCAGCTTCATGGACTGTGGTCTCTCCAGTGAGAGACAGACGCTGTGGTACCGTTCCCACTACTGAGCGTCCAGCCTCAAGGGCCGAGACTCAGCCTTGCAGATATAAGACAACTATTTACCATACGCTAAGTTAAATTCTTTTATTTTCATCCTACCAGTTCCATGCTTCCTGAGAACCAGACTAATACAGGGGGAAGAAGGTCTACAGCCTCTACAGCGCTTGAGATGCATGGTACACATCAAGCCATCCGACAGGGCAGTCTGCTGCTGTCTGCCTCATAAACGGTCTGAAAAGTTCTAGATTAGACTAACTGGTTAGTGCTTGTCAACATGACATAAACTAGTCACCTGGGAAAGGGTCCCTCCACTGAGGTGAGCATATCTGTGGGGCTTCTGGACTAACAACTGATGTGAGAGGGTGGTCCTGGATTGTGTAAGAAATCGGGGTGAGCCAAGCCATGGGGAGGAAACAAGCCAGTAAACAGCATTCCTCCTTGGTTCTGCTTCAGTTCCTGCCTTGAGTTCCTGTCCTGCTGTCTCTTCATGACAGACTGTGTGACCTGTAAGTCAAATCAACCCCTTCCTTCCCAAGCTGCTTTTGGTGAGTGTTATACTACAAAAGGCAAGCTGGAACACTGGTCTTGGCTGGGCATGGTGGCACACACCTGTGATCCCAGCATTCCTAAAGTACAGGCAAGGATCTGAGGAGCGTAAGGCTACACAGCCTGGGTTACATGTCTTACGTCAAACCAACAGCCTTCTGGAGTTGGAGCCTGACACCCAGGGGTTCTGAGCAGCCCTGAATTTCAGGGCCTCCTGGAGTCAACTCACTTGTCCTGACCTCTGTCCTCAATAGCTCCTGAACAGTCAGCCAGCCTGGGACCCTGGATCTCATGGTCTGTAATTCTGCATAAGGCCTTTCGGAGAAAGCTGGACCTGCATCCATGTGTCGGGACTCCTAGGTTGCACAGTGGGAGCTCTGGAAAAGGCTTCTCAGATGAGGCCTAGCAAAGATTTCTTCTCTCACACGGAGGCTTCTGAGAACACGTATAAACAAAGGGCTGTGTGTAGACAGGATGGCCTCTACGATGACTACTACTGATCTGGGGTCCCACTGTGGTCCAAGCCCTGTGTAAGTCTGACCAGAAGACCAGAGCTGGGCCACTGTGGTGAAGGCAGGAGGAGGCCCCTTAGCTAGGAAGTTGGCACTCACTGTGAGACACTGGAGAGCACCAGGATGCTTAAGGCTCTGGCTTGGAATGAATGAAGTGGGATTTTGGCAGATTCAGCTCTGGGTTGGTCATCTAGGGGAAAGCTGCAGGATCCCAAGGCTGCCATACGCACTGTGCCATGGTCTCTTTGGCCTGGCCACCACTTGCCTCTCCCATTCTCTAGACAGCAGCTGTGACCTACTCCTCACAGAAGTTACCTTCACCATGCTATAATTAACGAATTTAATCTCTAAAGACACAGATTACAAGACAGTAATTGTTGTTTTTTGTTTGCTTGTTTTTTTGAGACAGGGTCTCACTATGTAGCCCAGGCTGGCCTCAAACTCACCTCGAAATCTTCCTGCTTCAGCCATCTAAGGTTACAGGCATGTACCACCAAACCCGTGGATTATGAGATGAAAAGTTATAGCAACTCAGTTTTCTTACAAAAAAAAAAAAAGCACCATCTTGTGTCTTCCTGTAGCAACACAAGTAGAATGTTCAAGTTTAGACCTTGGTGTGCTGTTAATGACAGGGCTGTACTGCTGCCCCCGGTACAGGAGCTGGTTGGGTTGGCTTACAGGGGAATCATCAGATGGATCTCTTTCTCATAGATGTCTGGGATCAGTCCCATTGGAGAGTTAATCATGTGCATCGTATTCTTGCCAAACAGCCGGAATTCATAATGGATGAGCTGCTCCCAAAAGCCATTGTTGGGTCGAATGATGGGCCGGCGTGATTTGGTCCAAGTGTGGGCATCTAGAAGGGTCATCGCATGGTACTTCATGAGGTAGGCGAGGCACAGAGCAGCCGAGCGGCTCACACCAGCGGCACAGTGCAGCAGCGTGCGGCCCTGCTTCATCTCCACGGAATGGATGTGGTCGGCAATGGGGTCGAAGAAATCGCAGAGACGGGCGACGGGTGCATCGACCACGGGCACCTGCACGTACTGGATATCCTCATAGAAGGTGTTTGCAACCTCTACCGAGACGTTGATGACCGTGGTGATGTGATTGCTGGACAGCAGCAGCTTGTTGTTGGCGGCCGCGCCATTGCTGATGAATAGGCTCTTGGTGATCTGTGAGAGGCCACTGAGTGAAGGCTGTGGGAACTGAACTGGGAAGGCACCCAACGGTGAAGTCATCAAGGTGACGGGTCAGCGGGTGGTGATGTGCTAAGCTTCCATCTTTCTGCTAGGCTGTGCTCACGGAACACTGCGGGAAAGAGGACCAAGTTCAGAAGGGCAAGAACTCGGAAGACTTCTGGGAAGTGGATGGCGGGCCTCTAGGGCTGGCCAAGGCGGTCCTCTGACCAGCATGGCAGAAGCATTCAGGGAACTCATGAATTGTACCGAAGTTCCTTGTCACTAAGCTGAAACTGTTATTGGAGCATTGGGGGTCTTTTCACACAGAAAATAATGGAAATGAAACAATCACCCATGGCAGGGATACGGGATAGACTTTAAAGGGACTTCGGCTAGTGAGTGGAAGGAAATCAGCCATGGCCTGAGAGACCATGGACAAAGAAAGGACCTGCAGGCCTTGGCTTTCCTGGGGTGGGTTCAGGTCAGGTCCTGAAGGGCTTCAGGAGAAGTAGGCTGGTATGCACCAGGGCCTTGGTCCCTAAAGAGTCCCCACACAACTGGACACATAAATGGTGTCATCTACAGCAAAGCTAATGGGAAACTCAGCTGTGTGTCAACTGAGATCAAGTGAAGGCAAAGCCTGCCGGTGCTCACCTGGAACACTAGCGATCAGAAGGCAGCAGAGGGAGGTGGAGGGCTCCAGATCCGCGGGCCCTCTTTCATGGGTCCCCCCTAATAAAGAGCCAGGGAAACAAACTGCAGGGATTCCTTAGTTCTTTCCTTTGGCAATGAAACAGAGCTGTTTACTTAAATTTAACTTTTGAGAAATCTGGATTACAGAGAAAACAAGTAGATTTCCCAAGCAGGCTGGTTTCAGCTAGCATAATGGGCATCTGTCTTAGTTCTCTCATAACAAAAGGTCATCCAAATAACATCTGGCCAATCAAGAATCTTCCCAGGAATGTGACTTTGAAGTGACTGATGTTTTTGTTTCTGCTCTCTTCAGTCCTTTTCAAGCTACAGAACCACAGACCTCCTCTGCTTGGCTCACTGGAATATTCTATTGTACAGAATGAAGTGTTGCACAACTTAATAGAAAACAAAGCCAAATGAGATCTTTAAACTGTTGGTCTATGGGGCAACACACCCACCTTCTATAGATATGATGACACGAGGTCACCCAAGGGCTTGTAGGAAAGTTAAAATGCAAAGCCTTGTGGGGATGACAAATAAAGGCATGGCTTTCAGGCTGAGGGCGGTACAGAGTCGCAAAGACAGTTTTGACGCAATCACAGACAGTAGGGCATAGTAGAGCAGACCCTGAAGGTGAGGCAAGAAGATGGGGGGGGGGTTCTAGACTAGCCTGGACTACTGAAATTCTTAACAAAAAACAACAACAACAACAAAACCCAAAAAAAACAAATAAAACAACCAGCCGGGGTGGTGGTGGCGCACGCCTTTAATCCCAGCACTCGGGAGGCAGAGGCAGTCGGATCTCTGTGAGTTCAAGGCCAGCCTGGGCTACACAGTGAGTTCCAGGAAAGGCGCAAAGCTACACAGAGAAACCCTGTCTCGGGGTGGGGGGGTGGGGGGGGAACTCACAACAAAAGATCAACCCCAGTACCATTCCCCACAAAAATGAACAGTTTGGATTGAGGAGAAGGAAGCAAGAAACTTGGTTTCGGCTGTTTCTGCACTTGACCGCCAACGGGGCCTTTGGAATCCAGGTAATTTGTTACCGGTGGCAAGTGAGACCTGAGGGAAAAGTTTTGTTCATCGTCAGACAGCAAGTTCTGAAGGCTGATATTTCTGGTGAATTACACTTTCTGGAGAAAGCTGGCAAATACAGGTGGGGCGATGGTTAAATGCTGGGTCATAAACGTGGACCAGAGTTCACAAGTTGATGGGTGGGGGAGGCCACTTCAAGCCGAGGACGCTTCCTAGGGAGCTGGCCCAGGCATGGCTCTCTACATGGTGACAGGACTCCCACGATCTTACCTCTTTCCCTCAGCACCGCGGGAGTCTTTCAGGAAGCGACTGTAGGGCGGAGCCGCGGGCGACGGTCTCCGAGAGGGCCCGTCATGATCCTGGATCTCGGGAGCAACGGCTTCTCCTCGCGCAACAGTGGGCAGTTCTGGGGCTAGGGGGAAGCCGCGGCCTGCCGTGCACCCGGACGCAGCCTCGTAGGACTCGCGCAGTCACTAGACCTCACGGAGAAGCCGGGTGGGCTGCAGCAGAGCCTACCCGCCCCATCTCCACGGAAACGCGGCGTCTCGGAGAGCCCGGAAGGACCATCCTCAGGCCGGCCGCCTGCAGGCCCCGCCCCCCGCGCGTTTCCTAGCAACACCCTAGCCGAGCGTCACAAAGAGCGCCAAAAGATCCTGAGGTCCGGCAGCCTGCAGGCTCCGCCCCCTTGCCTGCCCCCATGGCAACGCACAAAGCTCCTCCTCAGACTTCTGTGTAGTTAGTCGCTCCGCGTCCGCGCGCCCTTCCACCATGTCCTTCGACTCAGCTGCCGCTCGCGACTCGTTCTCCGCCACACATCCCAGAAAGCCTTCGGTCAAATGGGATCTGGGCTCGAATTTCGAGTCCGTTGCCAAGGAGACCACCTCCCCTGGCACGGACTTCCGGCGCGAGAGAATGGAGAGCCAGCCGGAGATTAGCCCCCGCATCCACCCTCAGATCTACTTCCTGCGGCCGCGGCCCCAAGTCCCGAAGCTGTTATTCAGGTGTGGTTCTGGCGTACAGAGCGGTCCTCAGTCCCCGAACCTCTGAGGGAATCCGAGCTTTCAGATCCGCTTTGCCCCAACCGTGTCCCCCACCCACCCTGCCCATCCGAGTTCCTCGGATCCCAGAAATGTCGGGATTTTTCAGACCCAGGCCAAGCCGTAGGACCATCAGAAGCCGGGACTCCGGGCTGAAGGCGCAGTCCCATTTCCAGCCCTCCGAAAGAATCCTGGCCCTGGCTTACTGTAGGCTTAACATCGTGCGGTCCGAGGGCACTTTGAGGTGACATCTAGTGAGGTCTCATGCCCAAATTTACTTGACACCCCTCCCACCACCCCCCACCCCGCTTTCACGCCTGTCCATTCTCCATGGTTCTGGAAAAGCCTTCAGTTCCGCGTTGTTGGCCCCAATCCTCACAAGCCTCAATCCCGCCCTTCTTCCTCAACCCTTTCCCCAGCCTCAGCCAAGTTCCTACAGAGGATTTATTATGGAAGAGCAATTTGCTTCAAAATGACCATTTATTACTTTAAAGAGTATTATCCAACCTTTCTCCTTTTTCATGTCTAAAGTTGATAAATTTGGTGCCACCACTGAGTAAAGTGGATCTCTACATATTTAGGCTCTTTTCCTTGAAAATAGGATTTAGAGTGTGTGGTAATTCCTGACCTTTAAACCTGTTTTTCTGTCAGCATCTGGGTATGTTGAGTCATCCTTCGCAGAAGCCAGAAAAAAATGGAAATAGAAAGCTTGGGATGTTGGTTTCTTGGTAGTGTTTGTAAGTGTAAGCACACCCAGAAGCCAGTTGTTACCTACCGATAGAAAACGAATTGGAAAACATTTTCTTTTCTTTTTCTTTTTTTTGGGGGGATGGGGGGTAGGTTGAGACAGGGTCTCTCTGTGTAGCTTTGCACCTTTGTAGCCCAGGCTGGCCTTGAACTCACAGAGATCTGCCTGGCTCTGCCTCCCAAGTGCTGGGATTAAAGGTGTGCGCCACCACTGCCTTTCTGAAAAACATTTTTCAGTCCCTTGAAAGGTTTTATTTATTTTTACACCCCCACCCCCCTCCCCGCTTCTTAAACTAGGCATGGCTGCCCATGCTTGTAATCCCAGCACTCAGCAGAAATTCAAGATCATCCTCATCTTAAAATGGAGTTCTAGGCCAGCCTGGGATACATGAGACCCTGTCTCAAAACAATAAATCTTTTTTTTTGTCCTAATTATAAAAGTAGTGTATTTTCTGATGATCTTATTGTTCTGATGTGCTAACCAATAGAATTTATGAGTATAAGTTTTCATGTTTGTTGTTCCTTCTGTTCCTGTGTGTATTCTGCCCAGATTAGGACCCCCAAAGAGACCACCAGGAGACCAGAGATATCCAGAATGCAATAGCAAGGTTTACTTCTTGGCACAATACGAGCTAGCAAGGAACCCTCGTCTGCAGTGCCCGGCGCAGCGAGGCAGGGAGGAGACTTCCTCTTTCTTGGGGAGATTAGCTTTTGAAGGCAAAAACCACCAAATTCTTCAGAGAGGAGGGGGTTAGTACGGGTCCACCCTAGATTGGTCCAGTTTTCCTGAGTTTGGACTTTATCTTATTTTTTGCTCTGTCAGGAGTTTTACAGCCCATCTCCAAAATTTGGTCATGTTATCTCGGGGAAGGGGGGCATCTCGTGGTTAGTTACCACCAGACAGTCTGATTTTGTACTTTTAAAACTTCTGACTTCACCCTGAGAATGGGGAACTGACTTGGTTCTGGCTATTTTAGATGTCCCTTTCCTCAGCTCTCCGGGCCTTAGGGGGAACTGGGGTGGGGGTCTCTCATTGTGTATCAGACAGACAGGCATTTCTGTTTCAGGCAATTTGTGAAAATGTGTGTGTAGTTCTTCCTTTTTTTGTTCTTGTTTGTTTGGGAATCTGTGTTCAGGGAACACATCACCAGCACATCTATCATTTCTCTGGTTTCTTTTAAAATGGTTTGTCAATCACTACAAAAGTAATGTACACTAATTAAAACATCATCAACGACAAACTGAAGACAGACTAGCAAAATGAAATGACCAGAAACAATCACTGTTAACATTTTGATGTGTATGTTTAAGGTTCTATGCTGGTTAGCTTTTGTCAACTTGAAACAAACTTGTTCCTTCATTCAAGGTAACTGCTTGTGGAGTTAGCTACAGCTGATTGGCTGTGGGCGTGTCTGGGGGCGGTTTCTAGTGATGGGGCGGGGGATATGCAGCCACTATGGGCGGAGCCATCCCTGGGCAGGTGGTTCCTTTGTATACAGTCATGAAAAGCAAGCCAGTAAGCAGCCTCCCTACTTTAGTTCCTGCCTCAGTTTCACTTGATGAGTGACTGTAACCTGTAAGAGGAAATAAACACTCTCCCCCTCAGGTTGTTTTGGGTTAGTATTCTGTCACAGCAACTAAGAGGCCGAGATAATCCGTATGTGTGTATGCATGTTATATTTTTTTAAAAACATAACAGCACAAAAAAAAAATCACAGTTTAGTAATCTGCTTTTTTCTCTATCTAGTTATCCCATCAAGATATTTATACTTGGTTACATGTATGTTATCTGATGTTTTAGCACAATTATTCACATTCTTCCTTGTTGAGCACTTGGCTTCCAATTTTTAAAATGCATGAACTTTTTTTTTTTAAATGGGAAAAACCATTTTAAAAGCTTCACAGTGTAACTAAATTACCAGAAAATTAAAACCCATTGGCCAGCAACATCCCTTGATGTTTATTTGTTGAGACATGTGGCCCAGGTTGGCTTAACACACAATGTAACTAAGAATGGCCTTGAATTTCCAATCCTCCTGCTTCTGCCTCCCAGTAGGTGAGTTTTTATTGGTGCTGGAGATCACCCAAGATTGTGTGCATATAAACACACATTCTACCAACTGAGCCTCCCCCCAGTTCCCCATTCTCATATTCCTCTGTACTTCTCACCCTTGTGGGTGTCTCCAACCCACAGATGTCATGAGGCTCAGGATGCCTGTGAATGCCAACATCCAACACAACACGATGTAGCAAACTTAAAACACTAGGAGATTGGGCACAGGTGGAGGAAACTTTTTTTTTTTTTTGGTAACTCAGTTGTGCGATTCCTGAGTGTGAACTTTGTCAATGACACGGTTGTCTTGCGGTGTCAAAAGGCGGAACACATTAATAGAGTCTCCAGAAGTCCTGTAACACCCCAAACTTCCCTCTCTTCCCAAACTCTTTCATTAGAATTCCCTTATTAACTAACCCTGTGCCCACCCAAACTCCTCCCTTATCTCTTTTCCCCTCCCTCCCTCCCTCCCTCGCCCTTTTCTTCCTTCCCTCCTTCCTTCTTTCCTTCTTTCCCTTCTTCCCTTTTAAAGACAGTTGCCTATGTAGCCCAGGCTGGCCTCAGCTCACAGAGATCAGCCTGGCTCTGCCTCAGAAGTGCTGGGATTAAAGATGTGCGCCACCATTGCATGTCTGGAGAACATTTTCTAATCCCTTGGCATGCACTAAATACGACCAGCTTTCCTTTTCCTTTTTTTTTTTTTTTTTAAATCCTGTTCTGCTCTACCCCCACTTCCCAGGTCCCCTTAGATCTAGGCTGTGAAGGAAGAACTCCCCACCTCAGCCTCTCTCAAATTCATCGTTTGCCTCCACCTTCCAACTTCACCTGAGACCTCCTCCACCTTTGCTCTTCCCTTGCTGTTTCTCACTGAGATGACCACTCCCAGCCTTCTGGGAAGAGCTCCGGGGGAGCGCTGGACCTGCATGACCTGCACGTGCAGTCCTAGGTTCCACCCAGCACCGCCACAGAGTAACAACAATCACAACAACAACAACAAGAACAACAGTTCTCCAGGACCCTTCTGATTCTATGCTGACCTCTCTTGTGGACTGCTCTGGACCTCTCTGTGTCCTCCCAGGATGCTTTTCCTCCCTGTTCTGGAAGCAGCCTCTTAGCATACCTTGTCTACAGGCAAAACTTAGTGGTTTCCTTGATCCTCGGAAGGTGAGAAAACCACTTATCTTGAAATCCAAGGAGTCAGGTGGTGGTGGCACAGGCCTTTAGTTCCAGCACTTGGGAAGCAGGGGGAGGTGAATCTCTATAAGTTCCAGGCTAGTTTTGTCTACAGAGTGAGTTTCAGACCACCCAGAGCTACATAGCAAGACCCTGTCTCAAAGCAAAACAAAATTAAATTAAACCCAAGGAGGTATCTACCACTATCCCAGCATCTGTCAAACCAGGCCTTGACCGGTTGTCCCTAACCTGTTTTATCTTCCCCTGCCCACTCTAGCATAATGAATTCCAATGATGCAAATGTGAGGAAAATTTTACCCAAGAGCCATTTATCTCGGGTAATTATTCGGGACAACCTCAATGCACAGCGCATCTACGAGATGGAGGTAGGGTACCCACCAGCTTCTGTGCTGGGGCCTGTTAGTGGTCTGACCATTCCACACTCATATCTCCTTCCTGCCTAAGAAAGCTGCCTATGGCGCCCAGGGTGGAAGTGGGACTCTCAGCTCCTAGAGGGCCATGAGAGTATTTTAATGCACGCCCCATCTTCATGGACGAGACAGATGACAGTAGGGGTTGGTGTCTTGCCCAAGGTGTCACACCTGCTCATCATGAGCTGGAGAGAGAGAGAGAGAGAGAGAGAGAGAGAGAGAGAGAGAGAGAGAGAGAGAGGAGGAGAGAGAGAGACCTCACCCCTTGGCTCATGGCTTGTTTCCTCAAAACACAGCATGTCTCATGCAGAACCTCAGGCTTTACAACTTGAATTGGCATCAGCACTGTCTGGCTAGTTTTTTTCTCTTGCAAAGTTATCCCATTTCCAGAAGAGAAGTAAGACTAGCAGCAGCAACAACAAAGCCACAGCACGACAAAGACCAAGTAGGCCCCATGCACATCCCTTGGGTTAGACTTTCCATGCTGCGGTCTCCGGGAAACAGGCTGGACTCGGGGATAGGTCAGTTCTGTATGATCTTGAGTGAGTCACACTTTCTTTATTTTAAAGCAGCATTTGAAATTCTTTTAGTTACAGTTTCTATAAAGTAAATTTGAGCTAGTTCAGCAGAATGGGGAACTTGAGTTCACATAAGCAAGGATGGATGGACAGGACGACACATATGCTTCCCAGCTTCCCTGGCAGCTCTTGCTGTCTGCCTTTTGGAGTCTGTATTTTTTAGGGGTGTATCCCTTTCTCCCTGACTTAAAAATACTTGCACATGTATCTCACATCCTGATTACGCTGTAGTTTGGGCGAACACCTGCGTTGGGCATGTATCTCATATACTGATTGTGTTGTAGTTAGGGGATCCCCTGCATTTGACATGTGTCTCACATCCCAATTGTGCTGAAGTTAGGCGGACCCCTTGCATTGCCTCCTCACATCCCATCCTGCAGCAGTTCATTGTAACACACAACTGAATAAGGAGCGCGGGGGGGGGGGGGGGGGGGGGGGGGGGGGGGGGGGGGGGGGGGGGGGGGGGGGAAGGGGGGGGACACGGGACGGGACACAATGACGACGACGACGACACGACTTGTCCTCCCAGCCTTACAGTCTTGTTGAGACAGAACAGGAGTTAGGGAGTGGATGAAATTTGAATTCCCTGTAATATAGAACTGTTACAGGAGAGTAGACATATATTAGATAGACATATATGGATATAGGTTACAGATAATATGTAGACAGCACAGTAATTAGCAAGGACAGGGGATAAGACTTATATATAGAAGGAGAAAGAAACAAGATGGACCTCTTTGGCTCCTGCAAGCTCTATTTCTTTATTCCCTTACAATTTTCCCTTATTATTTATTATGTGGTGCTGGGAATTGGACCTAGGGCTTCGCACACGCTAGGCCGGTTCTCTATTGAGCTGCATTCCTAGCCTTGCAAATACCCATTTCTTTAGCTTAGTCTTCAGATTATTCCGGTTGAAATCAGGCTCTGCAGCTGCAGACCATCAGAGGGCGCCATAGTACTTTATCCAGCGCAATGCCCACTTGGAAAAATAGGGAAACCGAGGTCCTGTGTGGTTACTTCTAGTTACCAAGTGACTTGTTTATCCTAAATTATCCTAAATTCATCTCTGTTTTTTGTAAGATGAAAGCCTCTGACAAGACCAAGAGAAGAATGAGCCACTTGTACGACCACCTGAAAAAAAAGTTCATGACGGACCAGCTGAGAAAGATGCTGCGCTGGAGGCGGGACTCTCTGAGCACCCAGCAGTACTTGGATAGGCAACGGGCCTACAGAGCCTCGACTTAGACGGCCGGCCAGCCACCGCAGCATTGGCAGAATGGTCTGTCCCAGGAGCCCGAAACCACCCTGGTGAGAGCCGAGGAGCCCCGGAACATGCTGGTCTCCACCAGGGTGGAGCAATAAAAGGAAAGCCGCGGATAGAATAAGAGCACAACATGTCCTCGGTTCTAATCTGCCTTGCTCCTCCATCCCCTCTGTTCCGGTGAAAGGTCGACCGATGCTTGGTGGAAGGGGGAGTGTCAAGCAGGTCTCCCTGGTTTGTGCAAACATGGAAACGTCTGTGCCCACATTTCTCTTTCTTTCTCTTTTCCTACTCTCTTTCCCTCCACCATCCCCACTTTCTCCATCTCTCCTTCATGTCAACCCTTCCTTCCTTCCTCCTTCCCTCCCTCCTTCCCTCCCTTCCTCCCTTCTCCACTCCCTCCCTCCTTCCCTCCCTCCTTCCCTCCC